ACCACTCTGACTCTCATGCATGTCGAAGCCAAGGTATTCCTTGCTGGATGAGCGCCTCTGCGATCTGGTGGTTGCCGTCAAGCGCCCGGGGCCCGGGACTAGCGGCGAGTTTGGTCGCATCACTGGCAGTGAGCTCTCAGGCTGGGCAGAGCTGCGAGGCCTGAGCGGCCAGAGCCTTCATCCAATGAGCGGGATCGATGACACAGGAGTGCTTCAGTTCCCTGCGGCTAGTGATTAAGGGAGCATATAGCAGTTGATAGCAGCCGATAGCAGTCGGTCCAAGCTTCTCCGGAAAGCAATAAGCAGCTTCAAAGCCCTGATGTTGAGAGGCTGTCACCATGCAGAATTGCGATTGATCTTGCATAGGCATGTCCCAGTACAGGCAGCGAAATGCTGCGCAATCGCAACAGTACGTAAGTAGGTGTCCGAAGCCATGTGGGACGTCGGATTCAGCATCCTGCAGCTAGGCGCGAACCTGCCCCTCGTTGCAGGTGCTCTTGGGGAACTTGTCAATGCCCTGGCCAAACCCAGGGATGTGTCAGATTTCCTTGCCATGGAAAACCCTATCTTGAAGCCGTGTGCACTGCAGCTACATGGCAAAGCTGAAGCGCCGCTTGTGCAGTCGTTGGCAACACAAACAGTGATTGCGGCGATGCGCATCCAGCACTTTGTGCGCAGTTGCCTCACGAAGCTGGGACAGAACCGGTCTTTGCGCGCGGACAGAGCTGCCAGAAAGATCCAACGCTGCGTGCGGCTGCACCAAAGCATGCCCAGAGTCCCGTTGACATGGCAAGGCTTTGAATTCGGCCAGCTGCTGGGCTCAGGTGCCAGCGCCACTGTGCATGCCGCAATCACACCAGACGGCTGGCCCGTTGCGGTCAAGCGGCTCCGTCCCCACCCCATGGACATGGACCAGGAAGAGCTCAAGCACGAGCTTCGCATGCTTTTGCATTGCGAACACGCAAACTACATCATCCAAGCATATTACGTCATCGACAACATTTGGACTGGGCTAGTCTTGGAGAAGCTTCGAGACAGCCTTTTTCATTTCGCCGCAGAGCAGTGCATCTCCGTCGTGGACTTTCTGGCAGCTGCCGGGCAGCTCGCACAGGCTCTACATTGGCTGCAAGGCTGTGCAGTGGTGCACGGCGATGTTAAGGCAGCCAATGTGTTTCTGCAGAGCCTTTCATGTGATTGGCCCAGATCTTTGAAGTTGGGGGACTTTGAATCCGCTCAGTTTGCCGGGGCTGGACTGCTTACCAAGAAAGTAGGCACAGTTTTCTACTGGTCGCCGGAAATGCTTGAGGGACGGGGCTACTCCTTCGGCCATGACGTGTGGAGCCTCGGAAAGCTTCTTGGTGATCTTCGCTGCGAAGACTTCCGCGCGGAGGCACTAGCCAGGAACATCCTCGTGCACAATGCCGAGGAACGGCCTTCGGCCCTCGACGTGGCATTTCAGGTGCACAGAGTCCAAAGTGCGATGTGAGTGTGGAAAGATTTTGAGGATATTGAGGATACCTGCGCTTCGTTTTTTCTGCACATGGGCTCCGCTTGATGTCACGTTGCCGGCGAACTGGTTTCTGAATGGCATCCTGGACAGATGCTGCGGACCCGGCCCATGTGTGAAATCAAGAGAAATTCCATGCCCCCTGCGCTAGCTTTCTGCGAATCAAAAGGAGTGTTGCAAGCACTTAGGGTGAAACATGCCTCGAGGTAACAACTTGCTGCTGTTCAGCAGCTAACCACGTTTGCTTCCCAAAGTAAGGTCGGCTAATTTTTTAACGGAAGCAGCCCTAGACCCTAGACCTAGATGTCACGCCTAACGATAGTTGCCAGTACTATGCGGCACAGACCCCACCGAAACTCGGAGACATGAACGGCCATGCATGACCCAAGGTTGCAATGACTTCAGTTGCTAGTTTGAGTAGCAGAGCTTCTTGTTAACAGAGCACACCCCGAAAGCAAGATGCCACAAAAACGTTCCTCCTCCCTGCATCGAGGGGTTGGTCTTGAGGGGTCAGACTCGTTGAGAGGCCCTGGCTGCTTCGAAGAGACGGCTTTGGGAAGAGTCGGGCGAGTGCTACAACGTGGCCTGGGCATCGGCCGCAGATGCGGGGGCCCGGGCCCCAGTAGGTGTCACGCTTCCGTTTGTGCCGGCTAGGTTTGTCGGAGTATTTCTTAGTTCAGCGAAAGCCTTGGTCAAAGGGGCCGCGAGCCTTCAGCACGAAGTCAAAAGCATGACGCCAAACTGAATACGGAGCAGCTTACGCTACGGGAAAGCCATGCTGCAAGGTGAAGCTGGCATCTGGGTCTCCCGAGCCGTGGACCTCGCCGGCGCGGCTTGACAGCACACATGGACGTAAGTTGGGGGGTGGTCCCAGGCTCTACTAAAACAGTCGACTCACAGTGAGGCTCCTGGAAGCCTTCTTCCGCTTCTTTGCATACGGAACCGGCCTCGATGGGAGGGCAGTAGCAAAGGCAGAGCGAAAGAGAGAGGGACTCGCCCGGAAGAAAAGAAGAGTGCACTATGCAACGAAGTAGAGGAAGAGGGGGAGCTGCTGCAACGATCACTTCTCAGAGGCTACGACTTCAATGTCGAGGCCGCATCGGTGCGTGTGGCCGAGCGTGTGGGTGCCTCAGCCCCTTCTGTGTTTCTTACAAATCTTACCTCTACAGTACACCCCAAAAGGCTCAAGGCTCAGCTTCAGCGTGTTCGCGGTTGCAGAGGCCCGGCGGAGCGTCTTCGGTCGCCCGGCTCTGGCCCTGGAAGACCCTCTGGAAACGGAGACTTGGCCAAGGGAAATATTCCTGACGGAATATCACGCCATTTCTGTTGGTTTCTTTGAGGTGGAATATGGGGGCCTACAAAAATTACCAATACTATTTTGGGGATTCGAGGACTGGGACCTGGGCCGCCTGCTGGACGAGCAGCGCCTGGCACGACTCCGTGCGGAGTTGCGCCGCGCCGCGCGCAGGCTGCGTGGAGGTGCCGGGGGGAGATGGTAGAAGCGGCGATGGGATCGAGAGCTAAACCTTGCCTCCTAACGATCTTCGCTGTTGTTTCTCAGGTCCTTCGGAGTCCTCTCTGAAGGCAGTCTTCGCCCGGCGTGGGCTCAGGCTCGGCGGCTGGCCTCGCTCTCTCCCTCAAGCCTTTGCTTCCGGGGCGTTGTGGCGTTGACGGCGTCTCTGCCACGTTAGGTTTTGTCACAGCCGGGATCACAAGATCGCTTCCGCCGAGCATCGCCTTGGCAGCCGCAAACATGCGTCCTACGAATCATACTCATACGCAAGCATGCAGCATTGCTCGCAACTGCCGGTGTTTAGCTGTGGGAGCATCCCAAAACCGACGAGGTGCCGGTGCTGACTTTCCACTGGGGCCCGGGCTTGAGCCGGAGTGCCGATGCTGGGAGTCTCAGGGGAGCTGCAGTTGACACTGCTTCTCACCGCCTGCAGATGCACGCATCAATTGAGGTTACCGTCAGAAATTACCTCGGCCTCTACAAGAGCGCCCTTCTTCGAGAGCAGCTTGTCTGTGCCGGTGCATGGTGCTTGTATAGTTCTCAACCCTTGCTGCACATTGCGAGGGTGGATTTGGATTTAGCAGCTTTTTGCTGTCACTAGTTATTAGTTAGATCACGCTTAAGCCTGAGCTCGGGCTCGTGACAGTGTTGCAGTGACCTTACGTGTAACGGCGCGAACGCGACGAGGAGAGTGTTCCCGTCCCAAGATGACCAAGCTCGAAGTGTAACCTCGCTGCTGCTTGAAAGCCAGCCGCGCGTGCCGGCTTGTCATTGCACTTCTGCTCTGGTGTTCGCGATGCGTGCTTGTAAGGCGAGTGCGAGTGAAAACAGCCCCACGAATGCTGCTAACACGGTTGGGTCAGGCTGGGATTTGAGCTTGGCGGCCGTTTAGGTTGTCGTGGTCTGGGATGCGGTGCAGCCTCGGCGACCCCAACAACAACAAGAGGGAGCAAAAGGTAGGAGCTCAGCAGCAGCGAGTGCTCACAGTGGCGCGGACAACTGTCCAGGAGGAGGAGGAGGAGGAGGAGGAGCCACGTCCTTTCGAGGGTCTTCCTCGTGCCAAAAGACTCTCACTGTTTGCCAAAGCTCGTTTAGCGGCAACGGCCCACCACTCTGACTCTCATGCATGTCGAAGCCAAGGTATTCCTTGCTGGATGAGCGCCTCTGCGATCTGGTGGTTGCCGTCAAGCGCCCGGGGCCCGGGACTAGCGGCGAGTTTGGTCGCATCACTGGCAGTGAGCTCTCAGGCTGGGCAGAGCTGCGAGGCCTGAGCGGCCAGACCAGGCCGGCCTTTGAGGGTGGAGCCGGGAGTGGAGACGTGGAGACTTGCCTCACTTTGCCTCTTTGCCGGCGCTGAAGCTTCGCAGGGGTTATCCGGGCGGGTACTCTTGGAGCCTCTTGGCCGTGGCCTTCGCTCAGCGGGCGGCTCCACCACTGGTGCCTTCGCTGCAGGCCACGGATCTGAGGGTCGAACAGCGGGGAAGCGCAAGCAAGTCATCAGGCTTCCCTAAGTCATTGATCCCGGCTTGCAGATGCCGAGAGCTTGAGGGCAATAGGTGCGAACAGCTTTGTGTGACGATTTAGTGGGGACACAGGGAGGAGCGTCTTCACGCCCTGAGTGTCGAAGAGCGTGGCAAGAAGGACCAGAGGTTGCCGCAGTACCGTAGTTGCATTTGTCTCAATCGAATGCCTCCTTTGACCGTGCCGGTGAGCAATCTCAGCCTTCATCCAATGAGCGGGATCGATGACACAGGAGTGCTTCAGTTCCCTGCGGCTAGTGATTAAGGGAGCATATAGCAGTTGATAGCAGCCGATAGCAGTCGGTCCAAGCTTCTCCGGAAAGCAATAAGCAGCTTCAAAGCCCTGATGTTGAGAGGCTGTCACCATGCAGAATTGCGATTGATCTTGCATAGGCATGTCCCAGTACAGGCAGCGAAATGCTGCGCAATCGCAACAGTACGTAAGTAGGTGTCCGAAGCCATGTGGGACGTCGGATTCAGCATCCTGCAGCTAGGCGCGAACCTGCCCCTCGTTGCAGGTGCTCTTGGGGAACTTGTCAATGCCCTGGCCAAACCCAGGGATGTGTCAGATTTCCTTGCCATGGAAAACCCTATCTTGAAGCCGTGTGCACTGCAGCTACATGGCAAAGCTGAAGCGCCGCTTGTGCAGTCGTTGGCAACACAAACAGTGATTGCGGCGATGCGCATCCAGCACTTTGTGCGCAGTTGCCTCACGAAGCTGGGACAGAACCGGTCTTTGCGCGCGGACAGAGCTGCCAGAAAGATCCAACGCTGCGTGCGGCTGCACCAAAGCATGCCCAGAGTCCCGTTGACATGGCAAGGCTTTGAATTCGGCCAGCTGCTGGGCTCAGGTGCCAGCGCCACTGTGCATGCCGCAATCACACCAGACGGCTGGCCCGTTGCGGTCAAGCGGCTCCGTCCCCACCCCATGGACATGGACCAGGAAGAGCTCAAGCACGAGCTTCGCATGCTTTTGCATTGCGAACACGCAAACTACATCATCCAAGCATATTACGTCATCGACAACATTTGGACTGGGCTAGTCTTGGAGAAGCTTCGAGACAGCCTTTTTCATTTCGCCGCAGAGCAGTGCATCTCCGTCGTGGACTTTCTGGCAGCTGCCGGGCAGCTCGCACAGGCTCTACATTGGCTGCAAGGCTGTGCAGTGGTGCACGGCGATGTTAAGGCAGCCAATGTGTTTCTGCAGAGCCTTTCATGTGATTGGCCCAGATCTTTGAAGTTGGGGGACTTTGAATCCGCTCAGTTTGCCGGGGCTGGACTGCTTACCAAGAAAGTAGGCACAGTTTTCTACTGGTCGCCGGAAATGCTTGAGGGACGGGGCTACTCCTTCGGCCATGACGTGTGGAGCCTCGGAAAGCTTCTTGGTGATCTTCGCTGCGAAGACTTCCGCGCGGAGGCACTAGCCAGGAACATCCTCGTGCACAATGCCGAGGAACGGCCTTCGGCCCTCGACGTGGCATTTCAGGTGCACAGAGTCCAAAGTGCGATGTGAGTGTGGAAAGATTTTGAGGATATTGAGGATACCTGCGCTTCGTTTTTTCTGCACATGGGCTCCGCTTGATGTCACGTTGCCGGCGAACTGGTTTCTGAATGGCATCCTGGACAGATGCTGCGGACCCGGCCCATGTGTGAAATCAAGAGAAATTCCATGCCCCCTGCGCTAGCTTTCTGCGAATCAAAAGGAGTGTTGCAAGCACTTAGGGTGAAACATGCCTCGAGGTAACAACTTGCTGCTGTTCAGCAGCTAACCACGTTTGCTTCCCAAAGTAAGGTCGGCTAATTTTTTAACGGAAGCAGCCCTAGACCCTAGACCTAGATGTCACGCCTAACGATAGTTGCCAGTACTATGCGGCACAGACCCCACCGAAACTCGGAGACATGAACGGCCATGCATGACCCAAGGTTGCAATGACTTCAGTTGCTAGTTTGAGTAGCAGAGCTTCTTGTTAACAGAGCACACCCCGAAAGCAAGATGCCACAAAAACGTTCCTCCTCCCTGCATCGAGGGGTTGGTCTTGAGGGGTCAGACTCGTTGAGAGGCCCTGGCTGCTTCGAAGAGACGGCTTTGGGAAGAGTCGGGCGAGTGCTACAACGTGGCCTGGGCATCGGCCGCAGATGCGGGGGCCCGGGCCCCAGTAGGTGTCACGCTTCCGTTTGTGCCGGCTAGGTTTGTCGGAGTATTTCTTAGTTCAGCGAAAGCCTTGGTCAAAGGGGCCGCGAGCCTTCAGCACGAAGTCAAAAGCATGACGCCAAACTGAATACGGAGCAGCTTACGCTACGGGAAAGCCATGCTGCAAGGTGAAGCTGGCATCTGGGTCTCCCGAGCCGTGGACCTCGCCGGCGCGGCTTGACAGCACACATGGACGTAAGTTGGGGGGTGGTCCCAGGCTCTACTAAAACAGTCGACTCACAGTGAGGCTCCTGGAAGCCTTCTTCCGCTTCTTTGCATACGGAACCGGCCTCGATGGGAGGGCAGTAGCAAAGGCAGAGCGAAAGAGAGAGGGACTCGCCCGGAAGAAAAGAAGAGTGCACTATGCAACGAAGTAGAGGAAGAGGGGGAGCTGCTGCAACGATCACTTCTCAGAGGCTACGACTTCAATGTCGAGGCCGCATCGGTGCGTGTGGCCGAGCGTGTGGGTGCCTCAGCCCCTTCTGTGTTTCTTACAAATCTTACCTCTACAGTACACCCCAAAAGGCTCAAGGCTCAGCTTCAGCGTGTTCGCGGTTGCAGAGGCCCGGCGGAGCGTCTTCGGTCGCCCGGCTCTGGCCCTGGAAGACCCTCTGGAAACGGAGACTTGGCCAAGGGAAATATTCCTGACGGAATATCACGCCATTTCTGTTGGTTTCTTTGAGGTGGAATATGGGGGCCTACAAAAATTACCAATACTATTTTGGGGATTCGAGGACTGGGACCTGGGCCGCCTGCTGGACGAGCAGCGCCTGGCACGACTCCGTGCGGAGTTGCGCCGCGCCGCGCGCAGGCTGCGTGGAGGTGCCGGGGGGAGATGGTAGAAGCGGCGATGGGATCGAGAGCTAAACCTTGCCTCCTAACGATCTTCGCTGTTGTTTCTCAGGTCCTTCGGAGTCCTCTCTGAAGGCAGTCTTCGCCCGGCGTGGGCTCAGGCTCGGCGGCTGGCCTCGCTCTCTCCCTCAAGCCTTTGCTTCCGGGGCGTTGTGGCGTTGACGGCGTCTCTGCCACGTTAGGTTTTGTCACAGCCGGGATGGGTTCCAGGCGAAGGCTCGGGAGTGGCGGGCAGCATACCTTGGGAGTCCGAGCGCTGAGGAGTTGGGTAAAGCGAGATAAAGTGAGCTCCTGTGATTGCGTGGCAGCGCCGGTGCCGACTTCAAGAGATGATCAAGATTTAGAGATGATAATAAGAGATGATAATGCCTCCCAGCAAGCGGCGCAACTCCCGAAAGCCTTAGCCGGATTTGGGGATTGCAGGTCGGAGGCGAGTCGGACCTGATTGGGTGCCAAGCGGAGGTCCTGCCAAGGTTTGGAGAGTTCAACTTCCAGCTTTATTGTGGTCCCGAAATATGCCAGGTGGGCGTGGCAGCTTCTGCACCGGCTTGAAGAGAGGCAGCGCGCGACTTGAGTCAGTTTCGTGGCGCACTGCCTTGGGCTCGGAGTGATCCCGAGTGCCTCCCACGTTTGGCGGGCTGGTGGAGGGTTGTTGCTTCTTCGCCCGAGCAGCATGCTGATGCCCAAAACATTCTGTCACAGCCCGCAATAGCTCCCTTCATGCTGTGGTTTTCGCGGCAAAACGCGCTATGGCCGCTATGAAGGGAAGGGGTAGCTCCCTTCACTCCGGGGCAAAACATGCTATGAGGGAGGGGGTGGCTCCCTTCACTGCATGGTTGGGGCAAGACATGCTATGAATCCCTTCATTGCATGGTTTGGGAGCAAGGCACGCTACCCTTCATAGTTTCGGGGGAAAGCAGACTATGAAATGAAGGAGTGGAGGAAACTCGGAAGTGGGCTTTTCAAACTTCCCAGAAGCGGGCAAGAGACGGTGGCGCTGAAATGGGTGCGATCATGGAAACCACTGGGCGTCGTGTTTGACAAACGTCCCGGACATTTGCGAAGCCTTGTATGCTCAATCCGCTTGAAAAGCACATGTCCGCATGTCATTGTCATGGGAGGGCGCAGGTTGCTCCCAAAAGCAGCGCTTGCACATGCAACACACTCGTTTTTCGAACCTCGCATGGCATGCCGAAACCCTCCGATGAAACTTGAGTCCGGGTTTAACACGCACAGTACACGTCGAGGAGGCTGTGCGTGAGGCATGAGCTGAGCTTTGAAGCTCATTCTTCTATCGTGAGCATCCTCGAGGCGAGAGTGCCACATTCTGACAGCTGTGCATGTTCTATGCCCTTGATGCGAGTGATTTGATGGATCGACATGATTTGCGGTTTCATCAAGCTTAAACCCGCCCCCTCATGAGGCGATGGTTGTTGATCGATCTATGTCGACCCTCCTCCCTGGTCAGGCGATGGCGATTGGTCGTACAGTGTTGAAGCCTCCCCTGCGTTAGTTTATGCCGGTTGATCCCATTTCTTACACCCGCTGGCTCATGGTTTATTATGTTCCTCGTCGTCGTCGTCGTCGGTCACGGTCGCGCTGCTGGTCCGTTGTTGGTGTTCTGTGGTGGGTATGTTTCGCCTCCGTCGTGCTTTTAGTCGTCCTCATTGCCTGCCGGACCTTCGTCTTCGTGATTCTGTTGTTGTCGAATGCTCTGTTTCAAGAGTTGTGATGATCCTTTTGTTCGATTCTGAACTTTCACCCCATGTATTCCCAGACCTTGCAGGAATTGAGATGGGGCGGTGGCGGGGAGCTTGAACCCTCAGCATTGGGCCAAGGCCAGGGCCGAGCTTGGTGCCAGTGGCGATGCCTTCCAGGGACGAGGAGTCTTTCCCTGGTCCCAAGCTCAGAAGAAGCCAAGCATGCATGTGACCTTGTCCACGTCCTACATTGCGAACTTGGTCGGAGTTCGAGGTATGCACCACCGGAGGGAAGCCAAGCAGTTTTGGCCTCAGAACACTTGCCTTTCGGCCTTCAGCGTCCGAGGAGAGTTTGAAATTGCCCTTCGCGACCCTGAAACTTCGAAGATCGTGTCAGACATGCAGATGCCTGATGGCTGTGTTTGCTGCCCGTTGTCGCGCCTCCTTGCCCATGGATCACGGATGATCACAGACATGTTCAGCGCCAGCACCAGGCAGAGGACTCTGACAAGGATGGGTGGCCGGCCGCCTCAAAGCCTCAGCGCACGCTTTGCCTTGGAGTGTGAGCAGCGAGACAGCGAGGTTCCACACAGGCGACATTGGACTCATAATCCGAGCAGGCTCCCCAATGATCATGCCTTCGGTCGCTTCTCTTTCCGTTTCGGGGTTGAGTTGTTTCTGCCCTTGGCAGGTCAAGTCCGTGGAGGCCAGCCCTGCATGATGCCCATAGTCAAGCTCGACTACAAGTTGCCCATTGCCAGGCTGGGAAAGATGGGGCCTATGGTTCCTGCACAATCAACCGACGCACGTCCGCACAGTCACACAAGCCTGTCCCACACATTACTTGTCACCTTTGCTTGTCATTCCAAGGTTGCCTGAGTGGGCAAAGCCGTGGCCTCAAAGCAACTCTCAGCGTCTCAGCAATGTCAGAGCCATATATGCTGTTCGTTTGATTTGTACCACAACTACAATCCACGAGAGATGTGTGCTAGATCCATTTCAGCCGAGTGTGCCAAGATTCAACTTCACACCCAATGTGAGTACACTCGTGCAAAGAACCTAACGCATTTTCAAGAGGAGCGGGTTAGGTATGTGCAGGTGGTGCTGCGGCCGTCGCCACACCTACAAATCACGAAAGCTGGCCGGGTTTTGGAACCCCCGTCCGCCGCCTCCCCCCACCCCACCCCCACTTGCCGTGGAGCTGTGCTGTCGTCGGTTCATGATGAAGGTGTAGAACTGTTGATTTACAGTTGAGCTTAATTATTTTTGGTGATTCTTATGATGATGTTGATGCTGATAAAACCTCACAGAGGTGATGTGGACACTAGTTCTGCCGTTGCGGTTGCTGATGAGGATGAGGATGGTACTGCTGATGATGGTGATTCTGACGGTGGCGATGATGACAACGGCTCAACATGATGGGCACGGAGATGGTATCTTTAGAACCCGTGCGGGGCGTGAAAGTCATGATTTGCTGTGGCTGGACACTCCCAAGACATGCCATTTGAGCTCTTGGCCCCCCGGCGCCCCTGCACCCACCACCCCCACCATTTGCACTGCCGTCACCACTTACACCGCCATCACCAGGGATCCGGTGCTTTTGATTTTGATGATCTGACGACAGCAATGAAAGTCGTGGATGCTGTAAATGATTCTGATTGTTATGTTATGTCAGCGCTGATGTTCACGATGATGACGACAATGACTTTCATGATGGTGACCTTCTTTCCTGTCCACCGACGTGAAGAATCCACCTTGCGAGATACGCGGGCCCCAATGGCGCACGAGACGCGGCGATTTTGCCCCCTGCAAACACTTGGTGAGCTGAGCAGATGCGCTGATCCCTAAAGCCCTCGAGCAGATCAGCCCAACAGATAAGTACAACCAACCACTGCAATTGCTTCTTAATTTCTTTTCGCCTCTGGGGCTGAACAAGTGTAATTCATTGTAGTTCCGTCTCAATTTCGTTTCAGTTCTGGGCTGGAACAAGTGTAGTTCCTGTCTTATAATTTCGTTTCACTTCTGGGCTGGAACAGGTGTAGTTCCGTCTTAGTTTCCGTGTCGGCTCTTTGCTGGAACAGGTGTAATTCCGTTTGAATGTCGTTTCAAGTCTGGGCTGGAACAAGTGTAATTCCGTTGTAATGTCGCTTCAATTCTGGGCTGCAACAAGTGTAATTCCGTTTCAATCGCGTTTCATTTCTGGGCTGGAACAGATTTTAATACCGTCGTAGTTTCGTTTCTGGGGTGGAACAAGTCTATTTCCGTTTCAATTTCGTTTCAGGTATGGGCTGGAACAAGTGTACCTCCGTCTTAATTTCGTTTGTTCTGAGCTGAAACAAGTGTAATTCCGTCTTGAGTGTGTTTCAATTCTGGGCTGGAACAGATGTAATGCCGTTTTCAGTTTTAACTTCGTTTCATTTCTGCGGGGGAACAGGCGTAATTGCGTCTTGATGTCGTCTCAATTCTGGGCCGGGGCAAATGTAACTCCGTCTTAATGTCGTTTCAATTCTGGGCTGGCAGAAGTTGTTTGTCCGTCTTAATTTCGTTCAATTCTGGGCTGGAACAAGTGTATTTCCGTCTTATTTTCGTTTCAGTTCTGGGCTGGAACAAGTTTGATTGCGTCTTAATTCCGTTTCATTTCTGGGCTGGAACAAGTGTAATTCGTTTCAGTTCTGGGCTGCTACAAGTGTATTTCCGTCTTAATTTCGTTTCAATTCCGGGCTGGAACAGGCGTAATTGCGTCTTAGTTTCGTTTCAGGTCTGGGCTGCAACAGATTTAATGCCGTCTTAGTTTCCGTGTCGATTCTGGCTGGAACAAGTGTATTTCCGTCTTAGTTCCGTTTCAATCCGTTTCAAGCATTGGCCTGGAACAACTGTAATTCCATCTTGATTTCGTTTCAGGTCTGGGCTGGAACAAGTGTAATTGCGTTTTGATTTCGTTTGAAGATGGCTTCTTTGGTTTCTTCGCCATGCTGCGCGCACTGAGCTCAGAAGTCCTTGGTGTCGAAGATCCACCGAAATCCTGCCGTTCTGTGCAAATGGCTGAGGCGTATTGCTGCTGCTGCCGTTGAGGCAGCGTTGTTTAAAGCTGTGAAAGTTGGATTTGAATGCAACATGCCCCTGGCCGAATTTGCAAAGGGCTCGAGGCAGGCTTGCTCAGCTTTTCAGAAAGCCATGGCCACTTTCCGGCTCACATCGCTTGAACGTTTTCAGCCGGCCACCCAACCGCAATCATTTGATATCTGATGGCGAGCTGTGGGCAATAAGGACGGTGGGAGTGCTGGACGTCGACGTCAAAGATCCGTTTCTCCTGACTGCACTCTCTTCAGGCATACTCTGATGGTGGCTGAAGTGTTCAACTTCTGCAAGCTATTGGCCGCGTCCTGCTGCAGGAAGCGTTGTCGTGTTCGATGTCAACAGCCAACGCATCATGGCAAAGATCGAGGCTTTGGGCCCACATGCTCAATAACATAGTGGAACGCATGCTGATACACAGAGGTCGATGTGACGCGGCCAGCGAGCTGCAGCAAGTTCGCTCATGGCAAGATGATCGTCGCTGCTGCTGATGTTCATGCTGGCCCTCTGGCAGACATACCTGTGATGTTAACACTCTGACAGGGGGTGCGATTTGATACATACATTGGGTTCTACATCTTGTGATATCACACGAGATGGGTGGAACGACTTGTTACGGGCGTTGGGTTCCGCATCTTGAAATGGCACGCACAAGTCACGGTGTACGATTTGTTACGGACATCTGTGCCTGTGCTTCGATACAACTCCCGTAAAGCAAAGCAAAACGAGAGAGAGAGAGAGAGAGATTGAGGCGGATATTCGATATAGAGACCGTAGCACAGAACAATGGGAATCTTTC